AAAAAAAAAAAAAAAAAAAAAAAAAGGAGATGCTGCTGTGCAAGTGGATTGTATGTACAATAAATGTCAAGACTGCAGCTGAACACAGGGTTACATCTCCGTGAGGAAGCCCAGACAGTGTCTCAGATGATGACAGAGTAGCTGTAGGAGCTCATAAATGCCACTGGAGCCCAAAAATTCAATTACAGCTCTTGCACTGCATGAAGGGCTGTATGGACGAGCACAGGCGGGAAGAAAAATGGTTGCTTAAGTAGCAATGGAGGAAAAATTGTTCATGAACTGGATACAGTAGCATGGAAAAAGGAATGTGGAGGAGAAAGGAAAGGCAAGACAAGGGCAAAATTGGGGGCAGAGAATCCACACTTTTTTTTTTTTCGGGTTCCATTTTTTTTTTTTTTTATGAGTTGCTCTAAAGGAGTGAGCAGTGGAACCAATGCAACCAGATCAAGGCCATGTGTGTGCAGGATGTGGTGCTCAGGGAAGTGTTCATGGCATCCTCTCAGCCAGGCAGAGCCAGGGCAGACTGCACCCAGTGCCTCCCAGTACAAACACCCCAGCACTGCTCATTTGCTCACATTCCATGATCCAGGTGTCCCCAGAGCCTTTCTTAGGGATACCTGCAAAAAGAGCTGGGTGATTACTGTCCTCAGTTAAATAGCACGTGGAGGTAAATGTGGTATTAGGTAGGGACTCTGCTTTTCTGGCTTTTTTCTTTACTGTTCACATAGGACTGGATGGGCAGCAGCAGCTTTTGCATTTTCCTCCTACTGCACAAAGGAGGCTGCAGTTTTGAGTCCTGACCCTTGAATTCAGAGTAGCCATTGCTTTCAATGGAGGCAGGATTTCACTCAGCCAGGCTGCTGCAGGGGCCATTGGCACATTCTCCTTGCCTGCTCTGGTATCTTCTCCTTTACCTTTGGAATTGTACTGTCTCACTTTTGTCAAAATACCTTAGTTTAAAGCGTGTGGCTTTGGTCTTCCTTGACCTTCCAACTACTGCTGCATTTCATAGAGGTGTTTAGTTGGAAGATACCTTACAGACCATCTATAGACCGTCAGTTCTAACCTCCCTGTCTGTCATGGGCCCACTGGCACATTCAGTTCAGTGTCCTTCTTGTTCTTTGCATTGCAGCCAAGTTTGCAGGAGGCTGGTCCACCTCTTTCTTTTTTTGGACTTATCTGCTGCACTTTCCTCATCTTTCTTTGTCCTGTCTTTAGCCTGATTTTTCCCCATGTCATCCACACCAACCACTCTTGGATCAGTCTCCCAATAGTTTCCAGTTCATCTTTGACCAACTTTAGGAGATTGGCTGGAAAGAGCAATTCTAAAAGCACTGTGCAGGGAAGTGAAGCCTTTTAGCTACAGAGATCTTTTGGGGCTGTTACAGATCTATCTCTGGGTTCAAGAGAGTAAAACTCATCTTAGGAATTGACTCCATCCTTGAGCTCAAGACACCCAGCAGACACTGCAGAGTAGAGCTGGACTTGACACTTCTGCTTAGTTCACCTTTACACATTTAGTGCACCAATAAACCAGGATGATTCAGCCCAGGGGAATGGCAGTCACAACATTTATCATAATTACAAAAAAAAAAAATCCCATGAACCAAAAAAAAAATAGGAAAAAAAAAAAAAAAAAGGAGGTGGTACATAAACAAGATGACCTAGTTTGAAAGGCATTGTGTATCCTTTGGAGTCTTGCTATATCACCTCAGAAATGTGGCTGTGCAGGACTCATCCTGTTGGTGCACTGACTCCAGCTCTGCCTGTGGAGCACAGGTAGGTATTTTGGTGGTCTGGGCAGGGAGCCAGCACTCTTGCCTTAGATAAGCAAATGAAGTCTATGAATAAATAATGTGCATTTTTGCCATGCTGCCAAGCCTCCCATTTCAGCTGGGCCACAGCACAGGGCATATAAAGTTTTGTAATCACCCTTATGCCTGGTGTGAAGGCAGTGGATGCAACAGAAAGATGCACTTACCTGCAGCTGGCTGTGCAGCAGCCCCGTGGGAATCAGATTTAATTCTGTGGGCTGCTCCCTTCCCTTCCAGACAACTCCAAAACACTGCAGCAAACCCGCATTCTCCATGTGGGCAAATGCCTTGGCACCAGCAAATCCATAGTTTAAATTCCTGATTGCCCTGGGGAGAGGAGACAGGAGGGCATGGAAGTAAAAGCATCCATTGGAAACTCGGGCATTCCAGAAGCTGTGGTGTGTGCACGGAGGGGCCGTGTGTGTTCTGTTCTTTGAAGGGTTTTTTTACTCCATCATTTCCTCTCTCCCTGCAGAAAACCCCGAGCGGGCTGCCCTGTATTTCGTGTCCGGAGTGTGCATTGGACTCGTGCTGACGCTGCTGGCCCTGGTGCTCAGGGTGTCCTGCCGGACGGACTGCAAGCGCTCCTCCTCCAAAAAGCCTCCTCGGGAGCGGGAGAGCGACAGCGACAGCAGCGACAGCGACGACGACTCGGACACCACGTCGGACCTGTCTGCCCGCAGGCACCGCAGGTTCGAGAGGACTTTGAACATGAACGTGTTCACCTCGGCCGAGGAGCTGGAGCGGGCGCAGCGGCTGGAGGAGCGGGAGCGCATCATCCGCGAGATCTGGATGAACGGGCAGCCCGACATTCCCGGCACCAGGAGCCTCAACCGCTACTACTGAGCCGTGGAGGCTCCAGCGCTCCTGCCCTGCTCCCGGGGCTGCCCCACACCTCGGAGGGGAGAGGAGAAACCAGACAACACGGGCATCTCCCCTTTCCTGTCAGGCGTGCCGCCTGGAGCGGTGTGCATGGACAGCCCTGGAGCGGTGTGCATGGACAGCCGTGAAGTTCTCCCCATCTCTCTCTCCCTGACATTGTGGTATCACCCCTCTTCCCGGACACTTTCTGGTTTCGAAGAAGTGATTGCCAACTTCATTTCCGAGTAGCAGGCAGGGAGGAGACAATGGCAGCTCCCCGTGTGGGATGTGGCACTGGGCACACCGAGATGTGAGTGCTCCTGGCCCGGCTGGACAGGGAGGTTCTCCAGCATTTGGTCTCCACTTAGGATTTTGTGGTTTCCCTTTCCCGAGGACTGCGGGAGAATTGTGAACAAAATGACAGCTCTGGAAAGATGATCCGGGGAGGGCGGGGGAGGTGCATCCTGACCGATTGTCTTGTGACTTCAGAAGCCATGAGATTACCTAATTAAAACCCAACAGCAAATAGGACTTGTTAAGAACTGGGGGATGGGAGGGAGGGGGATTCTTCCATCGTGAAATCATCTCGGTGCTTGGATGTTTGCCATAGTGTATTCAATTTTTTTGGCCATCTTTTCATCTTCCTTTTCAATGGGAACATTTAGGTTTTTTACTGACACCTCAGGGATAAAATCCTATTTTTTTTTTTGAGTCTGCTTTCCCTGCTGGCCCCTGTCAAACACAGCCCAACCCATCTCCAACAGTGAAATTCTGGTATTATAAGAGATGTGTCAGTCACTAGTGAGAACTTAACAACCTCAAAGAGGTTGAAAAAGGTTTTCTTTTTGTTTTAAATATATATATATATATATTTGAAGATGCTGCACAGGAATGTGCCTTATTATTTTTTTGTTTTGTTGTTGTTGTTAAACTACAGTTTTCCTATGGATAGCAATGCACAATGTTTTATATATTTTATTAAAAAAATAAAATTTTAAAAGTCTCTGTTTACCAGAGGAAAACCAACACAGAAAAAGCCATGTCTGACAACAAAATGGGTAATAAATGCTAAATAAACTCTGGTTTGCTTCAATACAATTGAATTTGCATCTTCACTTTTGGCATAGTTGTTGCTTGAGGGAGATCTTCGGAAGAGTAGCACACCTCTGCAAGCAATCAAGGCTGATGTTTTCTGCATGCAGGGAACTGGCAGCACCTTTTTTTTTTTTTTTTTTTTGGCTGCAGCCCATCTATCAACTTCTGTGGTTAACATGGGCAAGGCGAGCTGAGCAACAGGTTGGTTACTCAAGGGGTCACCTCAAAGTGATGATTTCATGATGCTTTGAGTCTGTTCCCCATACTCACATCATACCTGGGCCAGAAGCAAATGTTACATGAACTTAAGAAAAAAAAAGTGGACGAATAGGTGCAATATTTCAGTGCTTTTTCAGTTGTCCTCTGGTGTTTTCAGTGGGCTCTCACCACCCTCTTCACTCCCCAAGCAGCAGTTCACATCACCTCAGCTGAAGAACTTGGTGTTTCTCACATCTGCATGGCACTGCTGCAGCCTGCATGGCTTTGGGGTCTGCTCCTCTGTCATTTGGGCATGGAAATATTCTTTCCAGAAGCTTAAGGGTTTGCAAGGAAAATAAAGATCCAAGGCTCTGACTACCCAGAGCTTTTCCCAAGCTTTAAGGAGAGATGGAAATGGGTGGTCCTTGCCCCGGGGTTGCTTGGGGTTTTTTTAGGGGTTGTGTGCTGTGCCGAACAGCTGCATGGTGGGACAGACTCCTGGCACTTGGGGCCTTCTTGACACTCTTTGGGGCCACTGGGGCTTTCCCCTTGATGAGGAAACCTGCATTGGGAGTGCCCACAAATACTCCTTGTGTCTCTGGCAGGCTGAGAGCAAAGCTGAGTACCTGCAGCTGGTGGCACTGGCACTGTCTATGGTCAGGCTGGTTGCTGAGAGCTGGCTTCACTTGGGAAGGCAATTTGAGCACCGTGGAGCGATTCTAGGTCTGGTCCTGTGAAGAACTGAATGGAAAGGCTCAGTGTTGGAATGGAATGTAATTTTTGCATCTAATGTGTAGAAATAAAGCAGGAGGCAGGTCCCAAGGCCTGATGCATTGCCAGGTGCTTTAGTTGGAATGTTGAACACACTCTGCTGAGGGTGTTGAGGAGCAAAGACAGGGTGAAGTCAGTGGGGTCAGTTCTGTTGGCCATGTGTTTTCCCCTACAATGATACAGCCCCTCAAACCTGGTGATTCAAGGACAGCATGTTTTCAGATGTAGAATGCTCTGTCCTGGGACATAGCTTGCAAAACTGATTTTAAAAATGTTATGAATGGATTTATGTGTATGATTTTCCCAAATGACTTTTTTTTTTGACCAGAGGAAAGAACAACTGTGGTAAATCTAAGTATACCTGATAGGCAACTGTGGGATTAAAATATCTGCTTCCAATGTAAATCACAGCCAAACTCGAGTTGCAAATGGATGAACAGTCCTCCCTTAGCATTGCTAGTGCTGCTGTAAATCTTCCAGATGAAGTTTGAAATAAAAAAGGAGCAGAGTTTAGCAGACAAGCCCATCACAGCCTTGTGCTAGGTAAAAAAATGTAATACAAGTAGTCTCACTGTCTTCACACCACAAACAATACCTTCATGTTCTTTCTAGCTCCTATTTTGTCTCAGGGACTTGCATTTCTAAGAAAACTTTGACTAAAGACTGCAATCCTTTGAGCTATGAAAAGACTTTAAGTCATTGGATAACTATTTCTCAATTTGTCTCAAGTCCTTAATAATTTGTCTGAGGGACAAGACACAGTCAAAATTCGTGGGGCGGGAGTTTAGTGGTTTGCCTACAGCTCTAGCAATGGAGCAAAACCAGTCACCTGGAGTATGGAAGTGCTGGCTTCACTGGGGATGGGGTCAATCTGTATTTCTTACCCTGCAAAAGAATATCTTAAGCATATGGAGGTTTGGACTTGTCTGGTTTCCACCTTCTGTGTTGTGCTCAATGTGAAATATTAAACACCCATAGAGCCAGGGAGCAGAGAACAGCTGCTTTTCTACCTGCTTACTGTGAATCCCTCTTGTAGGAGGTTATGCAAAGCTCCACTTTCCTACTTCCATGTTTAATTCATTTTTTACATTAGAATGAAATATTATTTCCATAATAACACTTTTCAAATTCCCCAGGGCAGATAATTTAGTTTAGATCAATTTTTTTTCCTGTTTCTTGCATGAAATTCCTAATCATTGACCTTTTGGGTAAAGAGATATTGAATTAATTTTCCACGTGGATCTGTTTTTTGTGCCTCAGTTTAACTTTAGAATTTTATAACAGGGGATAACAGAGCAATCCTGGACTTGATCACAGGGGAAGTCATAAATATATGACATTATATTTAAAGGAGAGCATTGTATTTGCCATGCGCCATCTGCTGGGCCCGAGGCTTGGGACCTCGAGCAGTGAGGTGCCTGTGCTGGACACTTTCACACCTCTTGCAGCTGCAGAATACTTGGATTAGTGACCACAGAGCCATGTAGTTGTACCATGTTAGCTTAATAAATGAGTGTGGTGGGTTGGAAATCTGAGGCTCACACTCCTGGGGAAGATGAGCACATGGAAGAGATGGGTCAGGTTTTCAGCGCCTCGACTGCATGTTCATTGTCCTCCTGGCTGGTGGGGCAGATGGAGCTGGTTACAGAAGTCATGGCTGTGCATGGAGAGGTGGCAGAGTGAAGGTTGCTCCAGCCAGACCACCACCCTGGTCTCCTTCTCTCTTCCCATGGCCCCTGACTTCTCAGGGCCATTTTCCCCTCCTGCCACCATCCGGCCATTGGCACCGACCTCCTTTGTGGACCTGTGTTCAATGTACCCTGAAAATCTCAGTAATATGGTGTTTGCTGCCTTTCCCATGTCCACCCTGGTGTTCATATCCTTGATGAATTCCAGTTGGTTAATGAGGCATGCCTTTCCCTTCCAGAAACCACAGTGCCACTACTTAACCCCTTGCCTGCCATCCCTCCCAGCACCCCAGGGGCTACACAAATAAAATGAGCTCCCTGAGCCGTGTCATTGCCAGGATGTACAGCATATGCCTGTGGTGCTGCAGGGAATTTGAATTTCCTTTAGTGATGCATGGAGTGTCTCAAGTTTCTGGAGGTGTCACATGCAATTAATCATCTAAGACTGGCCCAGAAATTCTTCTGCTCAGAATTATTGTGGAGATTTCATAGTGAAGTTTTAATAATCTGATCTGAATTTCTAGTGTCCTTAGATACCCCCAAAAAATAATTCCCAGTGTTTCTTGCCTTTGCTTGTACACTCATTAGAAGTGGTGCAGCTTGCTCCTTCACACAATTTCCTCTACTTTTTGTGTTTGTCTCAAGGACTGTCAGTTAAACACAACCAGTCAAAAAGGCAGAAATGGTTTTGGTTCTTCACAGGGCAGCTCATCACTGTGTGCTTTCCTACACCCCTGAGCTGAAGGCACTCTCTTACTCTGAGTGATGTGGTGGTTTAATAGTATTTAAACAAATATTAAAATACATCAGTTTCTTTGCGTGTTTGCAGTTGCTGGGCACTGAATGGATCTGTTCCAGTGACAGTGCTGTAATGTCTCCATTTGGATTATTGCACCAGGGAGCCTGGGGCACTGGGGTGATGTCACTGGGAATGATGTGAAGGCTGAACCATGACCATGGAAGCTGCTTGGAGGGGTGTGTGCCATGCGTGCTCTGGAAGTGTGCTCTGGGGGCACACTTGCTCATGTCATGAGTGCCAGTCATTTCCCCAGGTAGGTCTCTCCAGATGGATGGATGGCTTTGTCCTCAAGGCAAACTTGAGTGCAACTGGCCCATTATTTTGCCTGGGAGGTCTGTGTTTGCTGAGGGGAGGGATAAGATACATTCCTTGTTCAGGCTCCTGGAAATATGGACAGAAGACCTTCAGAGTCAGGTTTAATGGATGTCAACACT